AGCACATCGCTCATCTCTTTCCCAACCATCCGCGCCTTCTCTCTCTCCCCTCACACATCGCTCCTTCTCCTTCCCCGACACCATCCGCCTCTCCCTTCCCACCACGATCACGCTCCTCTCCCTTACCACACATCGCGCTTCCCTTCCGTGTTCCCCCCATATCCGCCCCGTCTCCCTTTCCCCAGCACATCCGCCGCACCCGCCTCTCTCTTCCCACAATCGGCCCTCTCGTTTTCCCCAACCACTCGCCGTCTCTGCCTGCCCAGCACTTTATCGCCCCTCTCCAGTTCGCCCCACACATCCAGCTCCTCTCCCTTCCCGAACACACCCTGGCCCTTCCCTTCCCCACACAATCCGCCCGGCTCTCCCTTCTCCACGTCCTTCTCGCCTTCCCACACATCCGCTGCTCCTCCCTTCCCCACACAACCCGCCCCTCTTCTCTACTCCCAACACACTCGCATCTCCGTCTCCGCTTCCCCAACATCGCCCTCTCCCTTGCCCACACATACCCCTCCCGCTGCCCTATCCACCTTCCGCGCCTCTCCCGTCCCCCAACCATCCCGCCTCTCCCTCCCCACGAACTCTGCGCCCTCTCGCGCCCTTCCCCCCCCAAAACCACAACAGTCCGGCCCCTGCTCCCTTCCTCCACTGACCCCGGCCCCTCTCCTTCCCCACAACATCCCGCCCCTTCCTTCCCCAGCCAGTCCGACTCCTCTCCCTGTCCGCCACACATTCCGCCCGTCTCCGGTTCCGCCAGCACATCCGCACCTGCTCTGCCTTCCCACCGACATCCGCCTCTCGCACGTTTCCCCACACATCCAGCTCCTCTCTTCTTTCCCGCGACAAACTCCACTGCCTTCCCTTCCCGCGACACCTCCGCAATCCTCTCCTTCCCACACATTCGCCCTCTCCCTTCCCAGCACTCGCGCCCTTCTCCTTCCCAACATCATCCTCTCTCCTTTCCCCGACACTCCGCCGCTCTCCCTTCCCAACCACATCCGCCCTCTTCCCTTCCCCAACATCCACTCCTCTCCCGTGTCCCCACAGCATCGCCCTCTCCTGTCCCACACATCCCAACTCCTCTCCCTGTCCCGCACCCATTCCGCCCTCCTCCCTGCCACCAACACACTCCCAGCTCCTTCCCGTTCCCCAGCACATCGCCCTCTCCCTTCCCCACAATCGCCCCGCTCCTTTCCCACACACTCGGCCCGTCTCCCCTTCCACAATCTCCTCTCCTTCCCACACATCCAGCTTCTCTTCCCCTTCCACACCATCCGGCCCTACTCCCCTTCCCACCAATCCCCGCCCTCTCTACTCCCCACAGCCATCCACTACCCTTCTCCTCCTTCGGCCACCACCAAATACTACATTCCACGCTCTGTCCCCTTCCCGATCCACAATCCGACGTCCCTCTCCGTTCGCCCACACAGCCGTCCTCCCGCTCTCCCTTCTCCCATCACATCGCTCCCTCTCCCTTCCCTACAATCTGCCGCTCTCAGTCCCCTTCGCCGCCACCGGACGCGTCACATTCCTCTCCAGCCCTTCAGATCCCTTCACAACCACATCGCCGGCGCGCTCCAGCAGCGGACCGTCTCACCTTCCCATCACATCGCACCCTCATCCCCTTCCGCGAGCATCCACTCCTCTCCTTCCCACACATCGCCTCTCCTCTTCCCACACATCCACGGCTCTCTCCTTCCCGCCATACAGCTCCGCCGCCTCTCGCTTCCCACAATCCACTCGCTCTCCGTTGTCCCACCACATATCGCCCTCTTCGCCGTCTCCTCCACATCCGCCTCTCCCCTCCCCACATCCCGCCTCCCCTCTCCCTTCCCCCACATTCATCCCGCTCCTTCCTCCACTTCTCTCCACCAGCATCGACTCGTCTGCCTTCCCACAGATCCACATCCTCCTCCCCCACGTCTCACCCACATCCATCCTGCTCCTCTTATCCCCATCATTATTCCACTCTCTCCCCTTCCTCTCGCACCACGATTCCGCCCCTACTCTGCCTTCCCACCCACCACTATCCTCTGCCCGCCTCTCCCCTTGCATCCCTCACACATCCCGCCCTCCCGCGCCCCCCTCTGTCCCACACCATTACATACTCCCGTCTCCCTCTGCCCCACACGATCTCCAGCCGCCCCCTCTCCCATCCCTCCTCATAGCGATCGGCCCCTACCTCCCTTGCCCCCGTCACACACGTCCCGACGCCCGCTCTCCATCTCCCAAAACTGCTCCACACTACCTTACTCGCCCCCTTTCTCTGGCCTCCCTACTCCACTCAACTCGTTTCAGTCCCGCGGCTTCGTTCCCCACATGGCCGCCCTCCTTCGCCTTCCCGCCATGCACGATCCGACCCTCTCGCCTGCTCCCCAGCGCACTCATACCCGCCTCTCAGCCCCTGTCCCAGCCCCGCACCACACTTCCGGCGCCTCTCCTTCCCACATCGCCGCCCTCTATCCCTTCCGCCCCACTCACCTTCCTCTCTCTTCGACAATCCGCCTCTCCCTTTGCCCTACATCCGGCCCGTCTCGCCGGGTGCAGCAGCAGCTCCGCCCTCCTCCTCTCGCGCTCGCACAGCATGCTCACCGGCCCTCCTTCCTTCTCCAACAGCATCGCCCCCTCGCCCTGTCTCAACACATCGCCGGCTTCCCTCCGCTCCCGTTCCACACAACATCCGCCCGTGCTCGCCTCTCCCACCGACATCGCCGCTCTCTCTCTCCCACACAGGTCCGCCCTCTTCGTTCCACACCACAGTCGCCCTCTTTCTTCCACACATCGCACCCTGGCCTCGTCCGTCTTGCCCAACCACATCGCTCTCTCTTGCCGGCCACACATGCGGATCAGCTACTTCCCTATTGCCAAGATCGCTGCTCCTGCCCTTCTCCACACATCCGGCCCCTCCTCGTCTTTCGACCCACGACACATCACTTCCTCTCCCTCTCTCTCGCCCCTCTCGTTCCCCACACATCCACTCCTCTCTTTCCCAGCACATGCGCCGCCGTCTCCCACTTGCCCACAACATCGCAACCCCGTCTCCCTTCCCCACACATCCGCCCCCTCTCCCTGCCCAACATCACTCTCTCCCCTTCCCCACGACACTCGCTCGCCTCATCCCTCCATACATCGGCCAGACTCTCTCTCCCCACACATCGCGCCCGTCCACTGTCTCCTGTCCCACACATCTGCCCTCTCTCTCCCGACACTCCACATCTCTCTCCTCTCACATTCGCGGTCACCCTTCTCCCGTTCCCCTCACACATCCCTCCTCTCCTTCCCCACACATCGGCCCCCTCTCCCTTCGCCCAACAGCATCACCACTCTCTCCGGCTTCCCCACACAGGTCCGCCGCCTCTACCTCCCCAACGACACCCGCCCCTCTCTCTTGCCTCGCACGTGTTCGTGTGTGTGTGTGTGTGTGTGTGTGTGTGGGCGTGTGTGCGTGTGTGTGTGCGTGTGCGTGTGTGTGTGTGTGTGCGCGTGCGCGTGCGCGTGCGCGCGCGTGTATGTGTGTGTGTGTGTGTGTGTACGCACGCGAAATGCTGAACTGTAATGTGTGTAAGCGCATCAACTATCTGCCCTTGGAACATTCAGACGTATATACATCGAATAGCAGCATTCGAGGCACATCTCAATTCCCCAAATGCAACTTTGCGAGCAACGAAGGTTAAACTCGCCCGTTTCTAGCTCTGTACGCGTACGTGCGGAGGCGGCAGTGACAGCGAGACGGGCTTGAACAGAATGTAACAGGAATCAAATCAGCTGAAATCAGCTGAAAACAGCTGAAACAGCGTAATACAAGAAAACGTCGACCCACGGGGAGAGAACAAAACAGGGACGAAAGCAAAAAAATATCGCGCTGTGCTATGCTGCTAACCCTTTTCGGAATCGGAAACGGGTTGAAGAAATTAAATGCTGCTAACCCTTTTCGGAATCGGAAACGGGTTGAAGAAATTAAATGGCGGCTTCTCATTATGGGCGTTCACTGCTATCGTGAAGTTCTCGTATTCGGCGCTAGATGGCGGGCTTGCAGTTATGATGAGCAGCGCTCGGCTAGCCTCTATGGAGGTGGAGTCGACGATTAACCGCTCCATCTTGTCGAAAGTTCCTGAATTAAAACATGAATCCAACATTATTAAGAATCTAAAATTAAAAATCTGAAATTAAAAATTATGTAAGAGCATTTCTCGTGATTATCGTTTGTCGGGTCGATCGCTTCCTGGCGTCGCTGTTAGCTAGAGACGAAGCGTTTGTTGTCATGTTAGATGATTGAGACAGACATGATATTCGATAATGGTATTACAGACCAGCAATCACTATCTTCTTTCTTCATCTCGTTCCTCACTCTCTCTCTCTCTCTCCCTCCCTCTCTCTCTCTCTCTCTCTCTCTCTCTTCTCTCTCTCTCTCTCTCTCTCTCTCTCTCTCTCCTCTCTCTCTCTCTCTGTCTCTGTGTCTGTTCCCCTTGCTCGCTTTCTCTCTCTTCTCTCTCTCTCTCTCTCTCTCTCTCTCTCTCTCTCTCTCTCTATCTCTCTTCTCTCTTCTCTCTCTCTTCTGTGTCTCTCTCTTTCTCTCTCTCTCTCTCTCTCTCTCTCTCTCTCTCTCTTCTCCTCTCTCTCTCTCTGTCTCTGTGTTTGTTCCCTCGCTCGCTTTTCTCTCTCTCTCTCTCTCTCTCTATCTCTCTCTTCTCTCTCTCTGCTGTGTACGCGCGTGTCTCTCTCTGGTCTTCTGTCTCTCTCTTCCCTTTCCTCTACTCTCTCTTGCTCCCCCATTCTCTCTCTTGCCCCTCCCCTGCTTCTATCTCTCTCTCTATATATATATATATTTCATATTACTGATCGCATAATAAACCCGAATGTTTACCTCCGCCAGAGGCCTGGCGGGGTTATGTTTTCACCGGCGGTTGTTGAGTGTTGGTTTGCTGTGTTTTTGTGTTGTTACCATGCAGGTTCAGATCACCTTCGCGTAGGTGCGCTGCGCTGTAGACTTACAAACACGCAACCACAGGCTAAGGGGGCAACCACAGTTCTCCCCACCTGCACGCTTGTCATGTTAGATGATTGAGACAGACATGATATTCGATAATGGTATTACAGACCAGCAATCACTATCTTCTCTCTTCCATCTCGTTCTCTCTCACTCTCCTCTCTCTCTCTCTCCTCCCTCTCTCTCTCTCTCTCTCTCTCTCTCTCTCTCTCTCTCTCTCTCTCTCTCTCTCTCTCTCTCTCTCTCTGTCTCTGTGTCTGTTCCCCTCGCTCGCTTTCTCTCTCTCTCTCTCTCTCTCTCTCTCTCTCTCTCTCTCTCTCTCTCTCTCTCTCTATCTCTCTCTCTCTCTCTCTCTCTCTGTTTTCTGGGTCTCTCTCTTTCTCTCTCTCTCTCTCTCTCTCTCTCTCTTTCTCTCTCTCTCTCTCTCTGTCTCTGTGTTTGTTCCCTCGCTCGCTTTCTCTCTCTCTCTCTCTCTCTCTCTCTATCTCTCTCTCTCTCTGTGTGTGTGTACGCGCGTGTCTCTCTCTGGCTCTGCTCTCTTCTTCCCTTTCCTCTACTCTCTCTTGCTCCCCACTTCTCTCTCTTGCCCCTCCCCCTCTTCTATCCTCTCTCTTATATATATTATATCATTCATATTACTGATCGCATAATAAACCCGAATATTTACCTCCGCCAGGGCCTGGCGGGGGTTATGTTTTCACCGGCGAGTTGTTGAGTGTTGGTGTGTGTTTTGTGTGTTACCATGCAGGTTTCAGATCACTTCCGCTAGGTGCGCTGGCTGTAGACTTACAAACACGCACACCACAGGCTTAAGTGGGCAACCACAGTTCTCCCCCACCTGCACGCTCGCACTAATCCGGGTCCAATTATTATTTATTTAATTAACTAATTAATTATTTTTCACTTAATTAATTAATTAATTAATAAAAAATTTCACATTGAGAGAATTCAGCTGCCTTGGCGGAGGTCTGTGCTTTCCGAGTGCTCTAGTTTATACATAGCACCTGCTTCTAATATCACGCGATCCCTGCTTTTGCCTTGCGTGACCATTTGACTAGATGTCATGTTTACATTGAATTAACTTCATAAAGGTGAAACCTTATACGCGTCTGTTTGCCGACGAATGAAAATGTTCTTTAAATTAAAACGTGACGGCGGTTTCACTTTTTGAATGGTTTGTTTAATACAAGAGCAAACGATCGTGGCTGCAGTTCACTTGTACGTGTATGCTTAACATTCATGCAGCCGCAAGCTACAGCTTTGGTTGAGTAAATACGTACGTACACGCACGTACACACACGTACACGCGCGTACACGCGCGTACACGCACACACGCACCCAGGCACGCATGCACGTGCACACATACACAAACACGCACACATGTTAACAACCACCCACCCACGCACGCACACGCATATACACGCACACTCACACACGCACGCACGCACCACACATCCACCTAAATACAAACATCCACCCAACACGCACGCACACACACACACGCGCGCACGCACACATACACTCCAACCCACATGCCGCGAGCACCCACACACACCACACACACACACCCACAGACGACACACACACACGACACACCGCACACACACCGCACATACACCACCACGCAGCACGTACACACACACTACACACACACACACACACACACACACACCACACAGCACACACAACACACCACACACACACACACACACACACATACACCCACCCACGCACGCACACGCACGTTGTACAAGGAACGTTCAGCTATTGAGAACGGAAGTCTAACCCGCGCCGCGTCCCCCGTCATGTCGAACGTGTCTGACAGCTTTCCTCAGAAAGAAAAGAAACTGGCTGCGACCCAAACCTGCGGAATTAACAGGAAGTAAACAGAGATCGACACCTGACCTGCAGACGACAGTGCAGCGCCGCAGTCTTCGATTGTCGCTAGACGTGGTCCTAAGAAGAATTCAAGAATTCGTTTCCAGTAAGAAGAATTCGCACGGTCAGGGGCGGATTTAGGGGGGGCGCACCCCCCCCCCTTCCCACGCAAAGTGCCTTTTTTTCAAAAGTTGCCTTATTAAAAAAACGGTATGTTTTGCCGCTCGGCCTGTATCTGACAAGTATTTCACTCAGTCGGACCCGATCAAGCCCTCGTTTTTCTTAGAATATATATATTGGTCGAGCCCAGGAGTCAAGCCATACCATGCTCAAATCCAAAACGGAAAATCTAAGTCCAAAACTAACCGCTGCCTTTCTTAAAATGATGTTAGCAATACAGTGGTGACGCGGAACTAAGAGACGGCGTGCACCAGTCTACCATTCGCACATCTTTGATTTTTCGCCCATGCAAAAAAAAAATTTTCACCCCACATGCAGTGCTTCAAATTTACACACAGGCGTGTCCCAGATTGCATCTCAGAGCTTCTACAATTCAGAAATTTGGACCGGACCCCCCTAGCTCTGAGCAGCACCCCCATGTTATAATGAAAAAGCTTGGAGAACCTTGTTAGGTATTATTAGCTCTTGATTATATTGCCAAATGCACGCATTTCAATCAGCTACGCCAAAAGCTCAAATTAATAACTTATGAACCGAAAACCCATATATATGTAAAATTAATGAATTTAAAAAGTAAAAAAATTTTGGGGGCTTCGCCCGCACCTCGAGTGCCTTTTTACAAACGTTGCACTCCCTCCTTCCTAAAATCTTGGATTCGTCCCTG